ATATCCAAGTGTCCTGGGTCACATTTGAAAAAATCGGATCTGTGTCATTCAGACTGACATTAAAAGATCAGATACAGGTCACATAGGGGCCAAAAAAAATCGGATTTGGGTCACTTCAGGCTGCAGTCTGAACGCAGCCTAAGACAGGACTAAAAGAAGACTAAACCAGGACTAGAAGAGAACTAAACCAGGACTAGAACAGGTTCAGGCCCTGTCATCAGCACTAAACTTGGCTCAAACCTCAGATGATATTCACGTCACGACTTCAGCTGATAATGCTGTAGTGCTTTGTGGTACTACTGTATAGATACATGAGCTGCTAATCGATGAGGGCGCCACCACAGAGGTCTTAAGTATCAGGGAGAGACTGTGTAAACAAATTACACTGTGGAAAGTTGGCACAAATCTGTTCCTGAGTGCTCTCTTCACTATGAAACACAAGCTTTCATTTTAAATACTATTTGATTTTTTTCACGATTCTACCACAAAAACATAACAGCATAACAGGTCCTATATTACACAAAATTGACTCTGAGATTTAAGTTATGTCAGAATGCTGTTACCTCATCAAAAACATACCTTGAGTAATCCTTTATTATTAGTCTGTCTACATCTCCAAAGGTCGAAATGCTCTGTTCCACCTTGAAGCAGTAGGTTTACGTTAACAGCTACTCTTTACATTTTGTTCAGTAGAGATTGGAATTTCAGAAATGATCCAAACATTTCTAGTGAAGGTGTATGTAGTTTAAAAACATAGAAGTGCACTTCCTGTATTGCCATATAACATCACAAGAGATTTGTGTGTTAAACATATGTGAATGAAAGAAAACATTAACACGTTTAATGAATTGTTTAATGTTTGTGATAAAGAAACACCATTATAATATAGATTTTAAAATAGCGTAATATGGGCCCATTAATGAAAGTTGACAGAAAACATTAATACTGTATCTGTTACATAAAAGTAAAAAATTAGCTTTTAACAGTAAAGGGCATAACAAATGATGAACTTCTTTAAGGCTAGGCTTTCAAAGGGCTCTCTGATCACACCGGCCACTTTAGGATATTTATGTATTCATTTGTACCATTCAATAACTTCTACTCTATCGGAGCAGAAATAGATCCCATTAAAAGCATTTGGATTGTCTCTTACTTAAGCCACAGCCTGAAATAGAAATATCCTCCAAGCAACTAAACACATTTTGATGATGGAGATGTCTCAAGTAATTTCTTCACAAGTGAATTGTGTTTATGTCTGAGTTTGAGTGTGTTGTTTTGTCTCAGACCTGCACTTTGATTTTCCAAACTTTATTTTTGCTCAAGGCAGAGTTGCAGACTTTCTCCATAGTCACTTCAGTTTCCTATCTTAACCCAAAACATACACAATATAGGCAAATCCTCCAGCACTGCATGGTAATCCAGACCAAGAACTTTAGCTGTGGAAAATATAGCAGCATTTCACTTCTTTGTTCCATTATGTTACTGCAGTAAGCATGAAATCTTAACGTAATCCAGTAGTGAAAACTGGACCTTGAGGTAATGGCACAATACACTCCCAATAATGACTTCACCACTTACGAACAAACTTGTGAGAATACATTACGGTAAATATATGACCATAACTGACTAAATTATCCTTTAGTTGATTAATCAGTCGATGGTGTCTTATTCTACCAAAATTTTTAGTAGCTGACTAATTATTATATAATTTAGATTATAAGGATCTGCATGGGATAACTGGTTTAGAATGGATTAGTTAGTGAGTGAGGATGTTATTTTAGGATTTGGTATTTTTTGGAATTTATATGTAAAAAGATTAAACTGAAATTTAATCTGTCTTTATATAAATACATTGTTTCCTAGTGCTTTTTCAGCATAAATAGTTGTTTTTGAGTCAGATACACAGAAATATATAATACTTTTCGGAGCTAATTGACTAATTGATCGGCAGGACATGTTTTCAGTCAACCAAGAATTTCTTTATTTAACTACAACGCTAGAAAACGGAGCACTAAAATAATGCCCTTATGTCTAAGTATATAAAATCTATATTCAGACAAGGATATTTTAAAAGGTAAATGAGTGGATTCATAGCCTACAGCAATGACAGCCAGGCGCACCACACATAGCTCACAACCTGTTGAGTGATCATCTATTCAGGGAGCAGTATGACCTCATCCTATTATGCAGCATTTTCACAATAAACAATGATTGGCAAGATGGCAACCAAATGTGTATTCTCCATCCAGTGCTCGTGCTCAGATTTCCAGCAGGGAAGTCAATGGCAAAGTTAAGTGTGTGGAATGATTCGATCCAATGGAACGCGGAGTCGGGCGGGTATGGCTTCAGACGCCTATACAAGCTGATTTGAATTGCAAATGGCCACAGGTAGCATGCTGGGTTGGGATGCGGAGTCCCAGCAGCGCCCCGGAGCGTCTGAACTTGCAAGCAAACACCACTGACTGCTTTTTTAGTGATCTCAAACAACAAAGTAGAGACATGTGATATACCAGAACTGGTGTTAGATATAGAGAAGTGGTTATGATTTGACTGGCAACAAGTAAACAACAGCACTGTAGTTTTCAAAAGAGGTTTCTTACCTTGAGGAAATAAATGTCTACTTTTAGAGTCTATTTTTAGGTGAAATTATGAGATTATGTTATACTTTCATTAATTTCAATATTGTGTGGTTGTGACTAGGATATCTCAGCTGCTTAAAGGTCCTATAATTACAGAAATTTGACTCATGTGAGCTTTAAGCCATGTTATAATGTTGTTACATCCTCAAATACATACCTGGAGTTGTGTTTTGTTTCATTCACACGTTTGAGTAATCTTTTATTATTTGTTTGTCTACATCTCCAAAGATCGAAATGCTCTGCTCCACCATGTGATGTCCTGAAGCGGTCAACAGCTCCTTTTATTTTTAGTTCAGTAGAAATGGACATTTCCAGGGCTGAAATTAAACATGTGATTCTAGTAAAGGTGTATGGAGTTTAAAACACAGTGGAGCACTTCCTGTATTATCACATGACATCACCATTTTCTGTTTGAGAGAAAAACTCTGCCTAAATACGCAGGCTTTGTGAGTTAAACATGTGTGAGAGAAAAAAAACACAACATTCAAATTAGGAACGACGTGTACTGTTTGTTTTTGTTGGGTGTGGGAGATTTGAAGCACCTAAATGAAATCGCATTCCAGGTTATACTAACTCTTGATCGGCAAAAGCAACTCCCATGTTTGTAATAGTTTTGTAACCACTCTTGTTAAGTCAAACTAGTGACTCAGGCTTCCAGTGGCAATTCAACAAAGCTATTATTATGTGCAAACAGCCTTGCCTTTCAACAGAACTGAACAAACTTGTGTTGCAGCAGTGGGTAATGCTCAGAACTAGATAGAGCATACCTTATGAAATTACAGCTGACTTTATTTAAATAGATTGTTTGCCATTATTGAAAGACGGAGGCGGCATAATAAGGGGAGAAATGCAGCTGTAGGATAATCTGCCAATAGAATCCAGAGTTTGACTGAAACTCCTATTGACTGACCTCTTGAGTCACTCCGAGAAATAGTCCACGTGCATGTTTGGGCTGCTACGTGCCCCTTTTGATAATGAATCTCAAAGCGTGCTGTGCTGACCTGACCGGAGCCATTCCCCTCCATAGCCAGTGTTGGGGAGTAACAGATTACATGTACCGGAGTTATGTAATCAGAGTACAAATTATGAGTAACTGTATTCAGTTACAGTTACTGTTTCAGTGAGTGGTAATTGGATTACAGTTACTTTGTTGAAATAAATGGATTACATGGTGGTATTTTCCTGTTTTCACATTTTGGGCTAAACTAAGTCTAAACCAGGACTAAACCAGGTCTAAACCAGGACTAAAACCAGGACTAAAACCAGGACTAAACCAGGACTAAATCAGGACTAAACCAGGTCTAAACCAGGTTTAAATGAGGTCTAAACTAGGTCTAAACCAGGTCTAAACCAGGACTAAACCAGGACTAAACCAGGTCTAAACCAGGTCTAAACCAGGACTAAACCAGGACTAAACCAGGTCTAAACCAGGTCTAAATGAGGTCTAAACTAGGTCTAAACCAGGACTAAACCAGGGCCAATTTGAAGAGAACAAACAAGAATTTTTGTTTTAAAAACATGACAATATCAAGTAATCCAAACTATTCAGATTACGTTACTCACTTTAAGTAATTTAATGGATTACGTTACAAACTACATTTTGGGGTATGTAATCTATAATCTGTAGGGGAATACATTTGAAAAGTAACCTTCCCAACACTGTCCATAGTCCACATGCCTTCTGTAACTCAACATGGACGGTCCAAAGTTGAGAGAAGATGATCCCAAAAGCTACATGTCCGAGCAAGTTCTCAAGCAGACATCTTCACGCTATAACTTGACACAGCAGAGGACGCACGGTATATCACAATGTAAACACTTATTGTTTGCTAAAGTCAAGCAGTGGGTGGTTATTGAGAATATTGACATGCTTTTACGCAGATTCTGACCAGGCCTATGTTGTGTTGCATAATTAGACATGGGTGTGCTAGGGATAAAGTGAAGCCATTGCTAAATCCAGTTTGACTTGACAGCTCCAACTGAAATGGGATCAAATCTGAGGGTGCAGCTCAACTTCCATCAAGGTTACAACTACAACGCACACGAGAACGCGTAACTTGGTTTTACAAGTGCAGGCCTTCTTTCAAGTGCTAGTGCATATCAAATGATGTTACAACGTGCCCTTGCTTCTCCCCGTTCACATGACCAGCTCTGGTGTAGTCCGGAGAGCAGCTGCGGCTTCATTAAATGCATTTTCACTGCAGTACACAGAAACAAAGACAGCGTACCGACGACATCATCCAAAGCGACAATTTATCCATCTCGCAACACATTCAACAAATCCTCACCACGCACAGCCAGCGACGCGGAGGAAGTGGATAGGGCAGAATAAGAAACACGAACATGAATATTTGAACATACCCTCCTGTCAGAAGGACATCCAGGGGAGAACCATGAACGGCGCGCACCGGGAGGTCAGTACTCCAACAGTCCTGCTTCGGTCGCTGGATACAGTATGGGGCGAAGGCTGTGCGTCGGTGTTTTGCCGGTGAAAAGCCTAATGAGAGAAGCGAGGAGGAGGGAAAGAGAGCCAGAGGGAGGGGACGCTGTCAGATGCAAGGCAGCAAAAAGGGAGGAACACAAGCCCTCACCCAGTCTCTGTCAGCCCGGTGTGTTCAATGACTAAAGAGTTTTTCTGTCAGCAAATCCACGCTCTGAATACGCGTGAGGGAAAAATGCCAACAGTGTGACATAATGCGCATTGTCTCTCTATGAAGGCTACGTGTATCGCTACAGTGTGGGGGAGCCACGTGATCAAAACGCAACAAGCTGACAGTTCATTAGGAAGACGTTTCATTAAGACCTGCCATAATATTAGGCCGAGGAGATCAGAGGGCTCGGCGTTATTACTCGCAGTGTCGTCAGGCTGCGTTCACTTTGATTTCGTCGTTTCGTGCGGTCTTAAATGGGATTGCTGTTTGCAGTGTTGTTTCTATAGACTCTCGGGCCCCAGGCAAACGAAGTAGGGGGCGCAAGAAGAACACACAAAACAAAAAAGAGAAATATAAATGTATTTACGTGGTCATACAAACAACAAACAAACTTCTAATGAATCTCAGCATTGGAATACAACAGCAGAAAAACAATGCAGGTGTATCAGATTATAGACTACCTCATTCTCAGCATAGCAAGGTGAGGCAAGACTCACAAAAAATAAACAATAAACACTACTGACTTTGTGTGTTGCAAGCTTTACGATGTTTATGTACACCAAACTCATCAACAGACTAGTTTCACCAAACTTGTAACAACCTGAGGGGGTCAATCTACCAACCAGGTCTCCTTGACTGAAACCGTGATGATTGAGGATGCTTCAGAAGAGGTTTAAAGGTTCCATATTACACTATTGTCTGATGTATGTTATGATGTTGTTTGCTCGTCACAAACATACCTGTTTTGTTTCATTCATGCATGTTTAACACTCAAATCCTGCATATGGGCCCGGTCAAGCAGAAGTAAACATCAAGGCCAAAAATTCAAGTGAATGCATCTGATATAAAAATGTATTGAACAGATACATATGTACTCTAGTTTATGAAACTGTTGACCTTTTTTCTGTACCATTTTTGGTTCTAAAGTTCCATATGTTTTAAACAGACCATGTATGAAACATGGAACAACAATTATTTCCCAAATTTCAAAGACCTGCAAATCATGTCAATAAATGGATTTATTTCATCATATCTTGTGTTATTCCATCTTTGAACTGTTGATGAAGGTACATGATTAAAAAAAGAAAAAAAAGAAAATGTATTTAAAATGATAAAAATTTGTTTGGAAGGACTGACATATTTTATAGAAATAGTTTCCTTTCATTTTGAAGTAATATTAAAGTATTCAGAAGAAAAAAGCGACAAATGATGTAAAATCATGCTCCTTCTACTTGTTTGCACAATTTTCCCTCCGTTACTTTTCCCTCCGTTACCATGACGTTTCTTAATAAAAAATCTCATTAGTCAAAAAGTAAGAGGTTTTTCAACCTAATCTTGTACCATATGGTAGAAAACTATATGAAGCAAATATTCAAACCAGTTTGTTAAGGATATGTAAGTGAGAACCGCTAGTTATCACTGTTTGGATTTATTGCCCAAAAAGTGCTGCATATTTCATTCCCTCCGTTACCGACGTGAGTTTTTTTATTTTTTGTCACAGGTTTAACTTGACCCTGTTGGAGTGTAACTCTTTCCTACATTCTGATACTTTACTTATTTCAATAGTCCCTCTAGTTTCTGAATAAGAGACATTTGAATGTAAAAAATCTGCCCCGTTTCCCTCTGTTACAGCTTGACCAGACCCATATAGAGGTTGAGCTTGCTCAAACAGAAAACACTCAAAACACACAACTCCAGGTATGTTTTTGACGACATAACAGTGTTATAACATGACTTAAACGTCACAGTCATTTTGGTGTTATGTACTACTTTTAAATAACTCTCATTGTGGCATGATTATTATTCACTGAAATGTTCAATCATGAGCACACATTGTGTTAATTGTTCAGGGGCCTTTTGACTTGGCACTCTAATCAACTGCCTGCTTTGTCTGCCCTGTAGTGATGCTTCTGCCCTACGAGTCAGAAGAATGAGTTCCTATCTGGACAATTACTTTACATCTAACTTTTTAAACATTGTATCTATAATTCCACATTATAGCCTAAAGTATTTTTAAAGGTCTGTTAAGGTAAAGTATATCACAAAAAAATGTATATATATATATTCATGTGAGCTTTAAGTCATGTTATAATGTTGTTCCCTCACCTGGAGTTGTGTTTTGTTTCTCAGTTCATCCTTATGATGTCATAAAGGGATAGTTTTCAAGTTAACATTTCCTTGTTTACCATTTGTTAGGTAGAGATTGGCAATTTCAGGGCTGAAATTATCCGAATGACTCTAGTGAAGGTATATGGGAGCACTTCCTGTATTATGGCATCACAAGGTTGAACAGTGTTTTCTGCTTGAGAAAAGAACTCAACTTAAATGTGCAGGATTTGTGTGTTAAATTTCTTGTGAATGAAACAAAACACAACTCTAGTTATGTTTTTGCTGAGGAAACAACATTATAAGAGATCAGAAAATAGCATAATGTAGGCCCCTTTAATGCATTATTAAGTTGTAAATAAGGTGCATGAATTATACTGATGGCTCAATTTTCTACATTATAATTCGTAGCGCTTAGGTCTGATGATGAGGTCATTATTTTGATTGATAATGACCATGAGAAGTGGACCCTGACCTACCCTCTCTTTGAACCAAAACAGGGCTAAGTGGTGTGAAAGTTGTCCAGGGCAGCCTCAGCTCCCCACTGCGCTGATGAATGGACAGGGTCCACCCCATGGAATAACAGTGCAGTTTGGTGTAATTAATGACCGATAACATGCTGTGGGTGCATGACTCACTGTCTGCTGCAATGAGCACTTTTTAATGATGTAAATATGACAGAGTTATAGTAATATTTTGATCAGTGGATATCTAAACACTGTTATCACAAACTAATTCTGAAATGCTGCAGGCTTCACAGTGGGGTGTGTTGTGAAATAAGTCATTTAAGAGAATCCAAAAAGCAAGAACATATTAAAAGATTGAAATGGTGAACTCAGTAACTGGAGCTGATTTCATACCAAGCCAACGCCCTTTGTTACATGTTCTTAAAGCAATGCAAGACTGGTGGCAATGTGAGTAAAGTGTTTTCCCAAATGACCCACCAGTGTAAAACAGTGGGAGACAAGGGGTCAGTCTAGGAACCAGGTCTCCTCTTATGCAGAATAAATTAAACTGCATTTCAAGTTATACTAACACGTACCATGAGGTGTAACCAACAGCAAAAGCAACTCCCATGTTTGCAATAATGTTAGTCATTCTTGTTAAGACAAACAAGTGACTCAGGCTTCCAGGGGCAATTCAACTAAGTTATGATTAGGAGTAAATAAGTGACTTGCCTTTCAATAATATCGCACAAACCAGTGTTATGGCAATGGATAATGTTCAGATGTATTATCACGATATGACAATACAGGCAATACTCAATATATGGCACACGATACTCTGTGATATATTGCTGTTTTTAAGAACCAAATACATTTTAACAACAATATTTTGTTAAACCACTACTTGTGCAAAGTTCATATAAAATACATCTATCATAATCATCAAAACTGAATATTTCAAGTGTATTTCATAAACAAGTTTACTTTCACTAAATAAGCAACAAAAGTGTATGCAGTCATACAAAAGAAATACCAAAAAATACTCTTGGTGATATAAACAGCAGCCCATGATAATGACACTGCGTCACCAAATTAAGTGTCACGATAAATCAATATTTCAATATTTTTGCACACCTCTAATAAATATGAGCAAGAAACTGAAGCTACCACAATTTCAAATTGATTTATTGTTATTAATTGAAATACCGGAGGTGAATAGTGGGTGTGAAAGAAGACCATTGCAGTTGTATGTTAATTTGTCAATAGAATCCAGAGTTTGACTGAACCTTTTATTGACAGATCTATGAGGGAGAGTCTGTGTACATGTTTGGGCTTCTGTGTTTGGAACAACACAACAGAACAGTAAGAAGAAGCTGTCGATGCAGACCGGGTGCAGAAACTGACTGACAGGTTCAGGTTTCAAAGAAGTGCAAATATAATACACTTTTATTATTTTAGGCATATGAAATGACAGTGCAAACATTTTTAACTGAGGTTGCATTACAGTCTTTTGCACCCTCGCAGACCTCAGCCTGTGTTGATGACTGATGAATAATATAGCAGAATAATATAATAGATTTGTACTTTTGACACCAGGTTTATTGTGGCGTTCTGCCCTCTTTTATTCAGGAATCAATATGCACCTTGCCATACGATGAATAATAATGAAAACACCAAATCATTGCATTGCATCTGTCCCCTTAGGAGTTGTAGCGTCACAAGTAGACTAATAGACTGAATGGTGAAAAGTTCTGTCTCTCCAGCTCATACATATGCAGATACTCTGACCTGTGTTTGATTCATCACTGCTAAATAGATGCAGTAAACACTTAGAATACTTACCATATTCATATTCATCAGACAGAATGTAAATAAGCTCATAACAGTGCTGCGGTGTTCTGATCAGTTCTCCAGAGGGAAACCGGAGGGAGAACTTGATGTTTTTATCTTGTATTTGTGTGTAGGTCCACGTCCATCTGTTCCATTGTAAGGAAGAACACACTGACTGTGTAATCCCCTGGTCATCCAGGTGGGATCGTTAGATTAAGAAGGAAAGATTCTTTTAACTATGTCGGTCAACTTAATTAAATAGCCTACAGATTAGTTTGGATTCCTGTGGGTATGTATTGTTTTATTCAAAGCAAATTAAAGGTGTTATGTGGTGTTTTTTACTTGATAAACATTATTATGAGGGGGCTCATTTACCTGCTGTATCATAAAAATGTGACAAACATAACTAGAGCAGAGTTTAGAGAGACACACTATCTGTTTCACAGAGAACACTCTATAATTAGATGCAGACATCTGTCTGATTTTGACCCTAAGAGCTATTTTTATAAAACTAGTATCTGGGTGAAAATAGAGTTTACAAAAACAGGTACAGGCCCTTTATCTTGATCTGGTCAGAAAAGTAACATTGTACACCTTAAAGTTTATTTTCACCTGTTACTTTATAGAGTCCTTTAAGGATTTTGTACTAAACACAAATAGAACGATTTTAATATTCAGCCATTGACTAAATGTCAGCACGACTCAGCCTCAAACCCATTATTGTTCACAGCCCATTTGCCCATAACGCATGGCTACTGTATGTAAAGGGAATCAGAGTTGGCATTTGCAAAGGCAGTTTTGGATTTCTCTAACAATTTTAGATAAAAGCATTGAAATTTGGGCCCATTGTGTCCTTAATCCCTCAGTGTCATAAAGTAACACCATTTCTTTATGAAACTGTGAACCTCAGCTCTCTACTGGCTTGAGACAAAGATCCACTTGGCAGAATACTGGACGCAGTGCGGACAACGAAAAGGCTGAAACATCACTATTGCTGCCTGTGTTGTTTGAGTGTTTGTCTGTGTTTATCTCTGAATCTACAAACTTCCTAAAGCCTGGGTTTTCCAACCTTTTGTGAATCATCTGTCATATTTTTGTGTTGAAAAGTTGCCATGGCACAATACCCACTAAAATGCCCTTTCACAACATTCTGCATTTCACTCTAATCATGAACTATGTCTTGTCACAGAGCTTTGCTGTCAGTTATGGGGCTGACAATTATGGAGGTTTGGATTTTACCACCACCAGCTTGTCTCCACAAAGATAATATTGATTTGCCTTGAATGTTCCCCCACTATGGAATTCAACTTATCTTTCTCTATGGAGACATGCAGGCAATGCCAAGTTACAGGTCAGATTTGTGAAGATGCAACCCCGCTCACAGAAAGTTTATATAAACCAGCCATGCCCCAACCCCTGTCCCTATGAAACAGTCTGTGGTGAGATGATAAAGTGATTTTCGGGCTGTTTTGAAAGGACTCTGAGGAGAGCTGGGGCATCCTGTCTTTCTCCTGTCTGAGTATTCATACCACTGTCCTGCTGTTATCACACGCCAGGACATTTCCTCAACGTCATCCGTTCCACCAGCACACGACCTTTCTGCTGCACAGGAACACACTGCAAACCGCTGCTTCAGATCCACACACACCAACAAAAATGTACATTGTTTTCATCTCTTAAAATGTGACTGGATGTAGACTGGATTGATGAATTTTATGTTTTTAATGTTTTTAGTGATTCTGCTGCCAATGCTCTTGTCAAAGTGCAAAGTGTTATTAAAAACACACAATGGCACAAACTTGGTTCAGGAGAAAATCTACAGCAATTCAGCAGTTAAATTGGAATTTGGCTACATTAATAAATAGTTCTAGTATAGCACCAATTTTGCAGTTCTAAAAGATATTTCTCTAACTCACTACCTGTTTTTGTCTGTCCTTGTTTTCGTTTTACATTACTGTGAAGTGTCTTTGAGTTTCTGTGAAAGTTCTGTATAAAACCAATGCAATATCATTATTATTGGAAAGCAGGACTGGTTATATAATAGTGCCAATATACCACTCTTGGAAATACAAATCAGAATCCCTTATGTGGCATTATGCACTCACAATAAACTATGGCCCTGTATTGCATCACACATGTTATCATCTGTGGGCTGCATGTCTGTGTAGGCTGTATATTCAGACATGGTGCAGAGGGCATGGCAGCCTGCCCAGACCTTACAGCTGCTCAGCTCCAGTGCACACTCTTCCCTCTCTGGGACACATCGCTCCTTTTACGGCCAGCTCTGAATTATTCATGTGGGGTTTGGTCAAAGCAACAGCTAGGGTCGCACCACAATGTTGACTACAATAGGATTTTACTATTCAGATCACTAATGGAGCTGTCAACATTGTGCATAGCCATAGACATGAGGAGCTGGAGAATGGGTGGATGTACAATGTGAAAAGAAGAAGTTTGAACTAGTGTCATAAAAAACACATTAGTTGGATTATATCTGAAGAGGTACTGCTCACAGTTTCATTAAAATAACTCACTCCCACCCAAATGTGTTTTTGTAAAAGTGATAGGATTTAAACATCAATTTTTGTCTGCACTTAACATTTATGTTTGATTAGTAGAAAAAACAGTTAAGATAGAAAGGTGTTATGTTGGTTAACATAGAGGTTAAATTGTAACAAGACTTCGAATCCTTTGAGAAAGCACATGATTTTTTTTCCAGTTTTAGAAGAAATTTCCTTTTTAGCCAAATAGTTGGTTGACTGAGAGTCTTTCCAGTCCAATGTAAGAAAAGTTAAAAAGGTCACCACAACTGGGTGCTAAAAAGTCCCATGATGCCAAGGCAGGGCAGGTCATTATTATTAATTTGATATACTCATTTCTTGTGTTGGCACTTGTGGGACATCACAAAAGACCTGATGTGACAAAAGACTTGTATGAGCTTTCCTTCATGTCAGGACTGCAGAGTCTATAAGTAAACGGAAGGATGTCCTTGTGGTCAGTCTGCACCCACAGGGTGCTATAGGCCATCTGTGCCGCCCATTACCTGACTGTCAGAGCAACCTAAATACCTCTGCCCTTGGTGTGTCTTATACAACACATATTAGAGCACATATATGGAATATGAGTTGGAGAGGCAAGGCCCAAAATCAGAAACAGACAATATCTGTAATGAGCTTTATAAATCATGCATAAATCATTTATTTTTCCACTTCTAACTAAACATACACCTATGGATTAAGTTCATCTATGACTGTTAGTCAGCATCTTTAATTTTGTAGAAAAAGCATGAAGTCTTGGTTTGACAGTTTTTTGTATTGTTTTTTTCATTACTGGTTATCACTAAAAAATCCAAACCTGTGTGAAGCAGCACAACTCTGGTCCTCTGTTTACTTCAGGGACAGTGCATATTAAAGAGATGAAATGCTTTTTCACTATTTACAATATAAGTAATAAAAAAAACTGTACATATCTGAGTTTCACAGAGACAGCAGGCCTTCAACTGCATTTAAACTTTATAACTTTATTTTTTATGTGTGTTCAAGTAATTCAAAGATGATGATTTATGTGTAATCATAAAAGTGTGCAACATATCTTTTGGGTACAATCTAATTTCAAGCAACATGCTTCATCTGGGCACATCCCCTCATGCTCAGCTGCTGACTTCACTCAAAACTAATTTTGCTCTCTAAGCAGTAGTGCTGGTGTCCTAAATAAATGGTTCATAGCAAAGTGAAAAACCCCTTAATAAAACATCCAGGCATGATACCTTATCAAGTCATTAAGATTTGGAGATAAGTATTGTAGGTTTTATTCTCAAGAGATTTTTTTTTTAATAAACAAATACAGTGTTGTTATCACAACATTTAACAATGTGTGTGCATGTTTGATGAAAGGCAGTGCTGAAAAGAGCCACTCAAGGAGCTGAGGCTGTGTCCTCGACCTCTTAGAGTTTGGGAGGTAGCCGATTGGATCTACAACACAGAAATGTGAAATTGTAAGAGTACTTTCACATTGTACAATAATACATTTTATGATCAAATTTAGGTTAAGTTAGTTCCACTAGCCTTCTTCAGTCTCATTACATAATAAACTGACCGTAACAAGCACATAATCTCCAGCTTTGATGACTCCTGTAGCAAGAACATCATCTTTAGGGAAAATCACCTTCATGTTGCCATCTGTTCTTCCACACAGGTCTGCTGCAGACCTTTTACTTTCCTGTAAAACAGCACGCTCGGTAACATGGCTATCACAGTTTGTGACTCTTGTTTATTCTGGCAATAAATCTTTTCAAATTATAATACAGAAAAACCTTAAATATAGACAATTCTTAAAACTCACCCCCTCCACCAAGACAAGCTGGGTGGAACTGATGAGAGAAGCATTGATCTTAGCAGCCTCCTCTCTAAACACATCAATGCACTCTGCCAGTCGACGCTGCTTCACCTCAGGTGGGACATCATCTTCTAGACGGTGGTAAGCATGGGTTTTCTAAAAATCATTATATCTATTTAAAAAACAAACTAACGGAAAAAGAAAGTAATTTTCTGATTTTCAATACACACCTTTCTCATACAATACGCAAAGAGAAACCCAATGTTGTAGCCCACAGCTCTGATCAGGGACAGGGTCTGCAGGTGGTCCTCCTCTGTCTCTCCACAGAAGCCCGAGATGAAGTCACTGCTTAGACTCACCCCTGGGACACCATAGGACAATTCACATACAGCACATATGTCTAAATCGTAAATGGTGAGAGAAATATGATTAACCAACCGGGAATGACACTCTTGATGTTGTCCACAAGCTCAAGGTAGGCCTCTCGTGTGTAACTAATGTAAATGTAAGAAGGGTAAGCTGGTTTGACATATGGTCATTCATTTGCATTGTCTCATATTAAATAAAATGAGCATAAATGTCTGCACACTGTGTAAAGTAAAATTTTTGATCAAATTTTGATTTAAAAAATCCATTTAAGGTGTAGGCCCATCTAGCTACATCATAATTTGTCTCACCCACGACGCATCGCTTGGAGGACTTGGTTACTCCCACTCTGAGCTGGAAGATGAATCTGCTTACAGATGTTTCTTCTTTCTGCAATCAATTGTAAAACCTTATACAAAAGAAAAAAAAAAAAAAAAGATTATTTATTTTATTTTCAGCTACTGTATTTATTCATTTATTGCTTGTTTTTGCCACTATTCATCTGCATTAACTAGTTTGTTAAAAAATCTTGGGGGATCTGTAATAGTTTGCTGCTCCCCACTGACAGAAGCTATCAATAAAGAATCAGTCAAGTTCACCTCATCAGGAAAATCTTTAGGATGAGGAGAGGTGAATCGGATTCGCATTTCAGGGTCAATGCGTGACACTCGGTCCAGCAGGTCAGAGAAACGCAGGCCTCCTTTTTTGGCTTTGTAAACGGTGCTGAAGCCCCGACTGAGCCTGGTCACATCTGACCCACAGAACTGTTCCTCTGAAGTATCTCTGTAGCTGTTTACATTCTGACCAAGCAATGTGACTTCTTTCACACCCTGCACATACAGACATACATTTTTAGAGAACTAGATTATGTGCCATCATGTATATTAGTCACTCTGTCTTTTAAACCTGAAAAAAGTTTGTATGAACATAGAGTTAGTCAATAAATTGCAATTAAATCAAAATAGCATTTGAGTAGAGGCAATTACCAAATAGCAAAGGCTGTAAACAACAATGCATCTTTTTTATTGGGACAATACTCAACCTAGTCTTTAGAATTCTACAAACTATTTTATCACTTCATATTTCGGTCTTCCCTCAAATGTTAATGCTCCAGGAGTTGTTTATAATATGCGCAAACTCCTACTTGTTCAAATGAAACAGTAATCGAAAGACAACTCTAAATTTTTATGGTTTAGTAGGTGAAAACGCTTACCTGATCTGACAGTAAGCGGACTTCTTCTAGAATCGAACTAATAGGCCGACTCCTCTCTCTGCCCCGAGTGAAAGGTACAATGCAATAACTACACATGTTGTCACAGCCTCGCATTATCGAACTGTAACCAAAAAGACATCACTGATTCATTAACATTTGAAGGCAAAAAGTGATACACGGGATCAATATCACTCACACAAATGCACTGTAACCCTGAGGCGCATGCTGAACGGGCATAATATCAGCATATGTCTCCTCCAGTGAAAGCAGAACATTACTGGCCTGCTGACCACCCTCCGCCACAGTAAGGAGCCGAGGGAGGTCCCGGTAAGCATCTGGACCAGCCAGAAGGTCTACCAACTTCTCTCGTTCTAAGAGCTCCGTCTTCAGTCTCTCAGCCATACAACCTTCAATATATGTTAATTCACATTAGAGGAGGTTTATTTTATTTGCTTGTTAATTTTCTAAATTACCTAAAATGCCTATTTTCAAGGGAATGTTGCTCTTTAAGCGTTTCTTCTTCAAAGCTTTGAGCTGTTGCAGTCTATTCCATATGGTTAGTTCAGCTTTTTCCCTGTATGGACATAGTTATTTTCAATTGTATGTATATTTTAAACATTAAACATTTCCTATACTTGGTCTAATATTGATTAAAGATTATGCCATTTTACCTGATGGAGCAGGTAACCAGTAGGACGACATCTGCCTGCAAGAGGGAAAGAATAAATGTGCTGCGTTCAACATGAGCAACATGAGTTATAGTGGCTTACCACAGAGGCTTACCTGGTTGAGGTTCTTAGTTTGTTGATAACCATTCTTAAGTAATATGGACATTGCGATGTCTGTGTCGTTCACATTCATTTGGCATCCATACGTTTCAAAGTACACTTTTAAGGCAAACAGTCAGTCAGATGTATTTTTGTATTTCTGTCTTGTTTGCAGAGTTGCACATAATTTTGACACAAACCTTTCCTTGAGTGTCCCTGGTTCGTGTCAGTCAAGTAACTGGTGTCCTCCTGGAGCTCTTCACCACGGGCAGGACTGGGTTTGGGAGGCAAGAATTCTTGAATGAAATCAGGAAATCTTGGCCCTTTTGACAAAGCATCTCTGAGTTTATCTAAAGTTATTCTTCTCCTCTGTGCACTGGAGACTGCAGTGGAGGAGCATAGTCGGGTTTGTGCGTAATGAATAAAAGCCCGCAGTTTAGGCATTTTAAAGGCGATTTTGACAACTCTCAACCCCTCCATTACACGTTTTCTTTACCTAGCTGCCTGGACACAAATCTTCCATCCAGATTACATCTTAATTCTTTACTCAGTACTGACTATTCCTTCGGTGTGTTTTGAAAGTCACTTAAGTCAAGCCAAGCGCACGTTTTGGCACATCGCGGAAGTGACGTAATAAGAACGTTAATAAGAAATGTTGTAAACGCAATTTTACTTTTATTGTTTTAGTATATTTTATAGGATGAAAATCAGTGAACATAAATGTGTATCTTGTGTATTCAGAGGAACACAAAATGTGCCCAAAGAACACAGAACACACAAAACACGTAATAAACAAAAGCGGAAACAATAAGCATAACTATCTTCTCTTCGATCGTCTCTTTGAATGCTCAGTGATTGGTTCTTTACCACCGCCTTCTGTTCTGGCGGAGAGTGAGGCACCAAAATACAATTCCCTCTTATGTATGTAAAATAAATAATACTACGCCACGGAGACTGTTACTATAACTATAACTTTTGTGGGGAGTCTATAGAATAAGGGCTGTACGGTGTTGACATTTCTGTGAATAGCCTTAGGTAGATTAAATATTTACCAGGAGATGGCGACAATGTGACAGATTGAAGTGTGTGCACTGTGCAATATCGTGCTGCTGCAGAAGAAAAGGAGGCAGGAGGCTTGGGGCTTGATTCAGATCTTTGTCTGAGCTGGAAAGTGCTGTCTAATGAAAGCTAGTGTCTGTTCAGTTTGGGGGGAGCTGCCATCCGAAAGCATCGGGCTCTGTCTGTGTGATATAGGTAATGAACGACGAGACAGCGCCGGACAGCTGGAAGAGAAACTCCGGGTGCTCCAGGTATGCTAAGCTAAGAGCTAAAGGGCTGTGCATCTCTCACACTCTACAGCACCATTATTTCCTGTGAAATTATTTTACTCACGTGTCTGAGTTGATGTACTGAGCTGTGAACATTAACATATCATTTGGCTGTTATGTCAGAACGTCAACATCTGTATGTCCGCTGCCCAAAAACACTTTTCTCCATTATAATTTTGGATGAACATCAACTTTCATTCAGTCACCAAATCAGAAATGGCCCTCTCAATGTTAACATTTTGCAACATGCAACAAGAAATTCTTTTCACAATGTGAAACTTAAGACACCCCTATAATAACTATGTACTTGATGACTTTACTATAATGGGGAACTGTGCCTCCTCTTCTTTATCAAGTATTGAGCAAATGCTGGCAGTGAATCCGGGGAAGACGCCCATCAGTCTGCTGCAGGAGTATGGAACGCGGATAGGCAAGACCCCAGTGTACGACCTGCTGAAGGCCGAGGGACAGGCCCACCAGCCCAACTTCACATTCCGAGTGTCTGTGGGAGAAATCAGCTGCACTGGTCAAGGGCCCAGTAAGAAGGCAGCCAAGCACAAAGCAGCCGAGGCTGCTCTGAAGATGCTCAAGGGAGGTCTTGGTGGTCCCATCGGAGTTAGCACTGACGTAGACGGATTCATTGGCGTGGATGTGGCAGTGGATGGAGACAGGTCAGCTCCTAAACACATTGTATGTGCACTGTGCAAGTTGTAAAACAAATAAAAAACTAAACTTGCTTTTTTTGTTTGCTTGTCACAGCTCTCCCTCTGACATGAAGACATCAAGTAATTCTCAGCAGTCTGAATGTAATCCAGTAGGAGCGCTACAGGTATGAACTCCGCTACTCTTTAACTATTGTCCGTAAGTGCTTTGTAGTAAAACTTAATGTTTTGATGTGTATATTTTCTCTGACAGGAGCTGGTAGTACAGAAAGGATGGCGCTTGCCAGAGTACACAGTCACACAGGAATCTGGCCCTGCACATCGCAAAGAGTTCACTATGACATGCAGAGTTGAGAGATTCATGGAAATAGGTAATATTTTCACATAAATACACTTAACCTTCATACACTCAGTCCATTGTTTTTGTGTGTCTGTGCTTGCGTGTTTGTGCTTTTCCAAATTTACAAATGCTCGAGGAAATAAGCTGCTGTGGTAGCAGAAACATGATGGAGTAGCTTTGATTTGGCTTTTCAAAAATGTTGAGATATGGAATAGAGCCTTTTTCCAAGATAGACTGATGTTTTTGTCCATCATTTCTAGAAAAGAAAAATCTATTTAGAGTTCTGCTGAAAATGTATAATGTACCCTGCTATATATTTACAAAAACAAAGCATTCTAACACGAACAACAATGTATTAGCGTCTTAATACAATGCTCCTGACCAATAATGCTGTTTATAATATCACCAGGCAGTGGTACTTCCAAAAAACTAGCCAAGAGAAATGCCGCTGCAAAGATGTTGTCAAGAATTCATGATGTCCCAGTTGACTTGAGAAGCAGCAATGAGGCAGATGCAGAGGATGACACTTTTACATTGGTAAGAAAACTGCACATTCATATATTATCAAGCTCAGTTTTGTGCAGAGAAAAAAAGCTGGAGTAGCCCAACAGAAGTGAACCCTAATTTTATTTTTCTGCTTTGTTTAAGCACATGGGGAGTAGAGCTGATTCAGGTAAGAGTAAGAGCTTCAGCTGCACCTGGGACTCTCTGCGAAACTCTGCTGGAGAGAAGATCCTGCAGCTGCGCAGCCATCCTCTGGGCATTCCCTCAGACTCTAACTTCTGCTCCCTGCTCACAGACCTGTCCATGGAACAGCGCTTTGATGTTAGTTACCTCGATCTAGGTATGATTTTTGACTAAAACATTTTCTTTATCTTCATGATTGAATCAGCAAACTAGTAAAATCTCAGATAACGTTATGGTCTCAAATACTGTCTGATTTGACAAGTGGGTAATATTTGTCTTAAGTATAAAGCAATGGAACCTAAATCATGGACTATGTTTTTTAGACAGTTTTCTGAAATTGTGGTCAAAAGAATGCATAAAAAATGAAAAGTATTATTACTGTGTATACACTCTATCTCAGTTTGCACTGGATTTGTATTTGTCATTGTAACATAAAAAAAAATTTGTATATCTTAATTTTCCAGAAGAGCGAAGTCTGAGTGGCCTGTGTCAGTGTCTGGTGGAGCTGTCTACCCAGCCAATTACCGTCTGTCATGGCTTTGCCCCAAGTGTGGATGATGCTCGAGCTAATGCTGCCTACAATGCTCTTCAGTACCTCAAAATTATGGCTGGTGGGAAGTGAGTGCTGAATACAGTACATTTCCATGGAATTCTTTATTTTGGACCCCTGGGCATCAAAGTGCTTGCACATTTTTTTATGAAAAGGATTTGAAATACCTCAGTTTTGTATTTGGATGGAGTGTGTATCTATTGAAAAATTAAGTCTTGGGACCCTCTTATTATGAGTCTTGTTGCCAAAACAGAGACTTTGCTTTTATTATGATTTTTTTTTTAAGTGATCAGCACATTATTCACAAAGTAAAAAGATGCTTTTTCAGTTGGTTCATCATTATAGTCAGAAACATGGCCAATGAACTCAAACTCATCAGGACTCTCCAGAAGTGATGCTGAATATTGGAAACAATTTGGACATCGCCCTTGAGCCAAAGGAATCTACATTGCATTGTTTGGAATTTTTTAAAATTGTGTTTGTTCAACTGCTAACACACTGTGATTTCACTTAACTCATGTAATGGATTTCATGACCATTGTCCATTGTCCTGTAATGATATTTCAACAAATAACAATGTATTATCGTATTATAATATCTGTAATTTTAGTGTGAAAGGAATTAAAGGACTTTTCTATTGTAATACCAACTTCTGTTGAAGTTGGTGTTAGTTATTTCATTTCAAATTCAACTTAATGTTTGTTTAAACTCTATTCAATGTGTTTTATATTAATAATAATAATTATTATTATTTAAACTGGAAATTCTCAGTGAGATAATTGAATAGGAGTTCTGTCCAAGAGAGAGCCTTCTTTTTAAAATACTCAATGGTTCAGAACACATGACACACATGAATTTTATCAGTATACAACAGTAGAGGGCAGCATTGAGCATTTATGACCTGGGAGCTGTATCATAACTGGAACCTTTCGTTCACATACCGGTGTTTCTCTCCGGAATTATTTTGATGGGAGACACGGCCATGGACACGGATTCCCAGCGCGTGTTGGAGTATTTAACCAAAGTAGAGGAGGCTGCTGAAGATGTGCTCACAACCAAACAACAGGTTACTATCTGCTCTGGAAAACAATTACAAATCAACGATAGAATCTAATATTTAATTACTGCAAAAGTGCGAAAGCTATTGCTAACGCTAGTAGCCTTATGCACGGACACTTATTTTAAAGAACGTGTAACGCACGTCTAAACATACTTTTATTTATCTATTTGCGTCGTTTTTTCAGATTGTGGACCTGGACTTAAAAAGAAACCGCAACAGAGAGGCACTAAATGCATTACGACATGATCTGTCCAGCAGTGGTAGGTCTATCTTAAATTTTACAGTTCAAGTCTTTGGTCACATCTTACCACGATTTATCTCCTCAGACAAAGTAAAGGTTTGCTTTGGCAATATCTTTATTAAATTTCCAGTCAACAAAACCACAGAGATGATACAGCGAGGTATATCATTTTTATATCACGCATCTTTCCCTTGATTACATTTTGTCTCATTTTTTTAATGCTGTTTTGCCTGCAGATCAGGAGCAGCTTGACAAAGAAATCAGTGATCTCCGCAAAGAACTCAAAGTAAAAGTCAACCAACTAAATGATATTCAAGGTAACGTAATCAATCTGTGTATGTGGTACAGTAATGCTACATTATTGCTCTGGCAGAGGGTCCAGCTTCTTTGTGCGCCTGATACATGAGTCCCTAGTTTGTTTATCATGTTTTGATATGTGAAGGGTAAGTGCTTGGTGTCACTCAAGCCTTCTGGTACAAGCCGGGTGAAAGAGAAGTTACTCTTGGGCCCGGTCAAGCAGAAGTAAACAGCAAGGCCAAAAATTCAAGTTAATGTATCTGATATAAAAATTTATTCAACAGACAGCACACATAGTTTATGAAACTGTGGACCTTTTTTCTGTACCATTTTTGGTTCTAAAGTTCCATACGTTTTAAACAGACCATGTATGCAACATGGAACAAAAAATATTTCCCAAATTTCAAAGACCTGCAAATCATGTCAATAAATTGATGTATTTCATCATATCTTGTGTTATTCCATCTTTGAACTGTTGATGAAGGTACATGGGCGGCAGTAGCTCAGTGGGCGGCAGTAGCTCAGTTGGTAGAGCATTCGCCCACTGATCTGAACGTTGGCGGTTCGAATCCAGCTCTCGACATAAACATCACAGGTTGAGGGGTCAGATCCACTGACCACAGGATGGCTGGTGTGATTCCAGCTCCCACAGATGAATGCTGCCATTGTGTCCTTGGGCAAGACACTTAACCCACCTTGCCAGTCTCTGCGTACACTGGTGTATGAATGTGTGTGTGAATGGGTGAGTGGTTCCTTGTTGTAAAGCGCTTTGAGTGCCTTGAAAGGTGGAAAAGCGCTATAGAAAAAAGTGACCATTTACATGATTAAAAAAAAAAAAGTATTTAAAATGATAAAAATTTGCTTGGAAGGACTGACATATTTTATAGAAATAGTTTCCTTTCATTTTGAAGTAATATTAAAGTATTCAGAAAAGAAAAAAGCTGACAAATTATGTAAAATCATGCACCTTCTACTTGTTTGCACAATTTTCCCTCCGTTACTTTTCCCTCCATTACCATGACCTTTCTTAATAAAAAATCAAAAAGTAAAGTAAAGTTTTTCAACCTAATCTTGTACCATATGGTAGAAAACTATATGAAGCAAATATTCAAACCAGTTTGTTAAGGATATGTAAGTGAGAACCACTAGTTATCACTGTTTGGATTTATTGCCCAAAAAGTGCTGCATATTTCATTCCCTCCGTTACCAACATGAGTTTTTTTAATTTTTTGTCAACAACTTGAAAGAATATCACAGGTTTAACTTTACCCTGTTGGAGTGTAACTCTTTCCTACATTTTGATACCTTATTTATTTCAATAGTCCCTCTAGTTTCTGAATAAGAGCTATTTGAATGTAAAAAATCTGCCCCTGTTTCCCTCCGTTACCACTTGACCGGACGCCCTTGTATTTTATATTGAAACCAACTTGAGTACAATAACTACAATAAAAATATTTGGATGTGAAGAAAACCTACCAATATAACCTGCAGTGATAAAGAATTTCTCAGTGTGTGTTTGAGAAGTTTTTTTCCAGTATAGTCTATAGTCTAATAAAACATCATGTTGTTGTGAAAACAAAAGTACAGCTTTGTTTTTGTAATACAGCTTGAGGAATACACATGTGGCTATCATCAAGTGTATTAGAGTGTACTTCCAGTTTAATTTTTTCATGCAATTAACACATTATTTGTTTGCAGGAAAGCCTGAGCTGAGAGGCTACAGCCTTACATCCCTTTCACCTGATGAACTTAAAGCTATTAACAACCTTTTGAAGAAATGACCTCAACACTGAATCTTGTATTATTTAATTATGGTATGCATCCATGTAAATATTATATAGGCTTATATGTAGTACATTTTTATTGTGGAGTTATGTGAATCTGACAAAAATAACCTAAACATTCTTTAAGATTAAAATCATGCTTGGTTTTGTATAAATACATTTTTGTACATTCATAGTGGAAAAATTTGACCAAAAAGGATTCCATTAACTATAAATAAACAATGTGTGTGCTTTTAGAAGTTGTGTTGTAAAATGTTGAATAATGTTGTTTTTAAATGTATGCTGCTGGGCCAAAATTAGACTACTGGGTTAATATTGACTTGATTTAGATATTGATGGAAAGCACTATCTGTTATAGTTATGAAGTGCTATATAAATAAAGTTCGATAGATTGATTATAGATTACCATTTCCCCTGTAAAACCACAAAACCATCACAGGGTGGCAGTGTAGTGCAAGTGTCCTTAACTCATTCCTTCATTGGAGTAGATGACGTCACAATCAAGTCACCTGCTTCTGACAAATGTGAGGCTTCTATTTTTTTATGATTGGGTCTCAAACTCTTCTCATAAGTTATAAGCAGTATGGTGATAATTGATAGTGATGACCTGAGGGACATAGAACGTTCATGTTTTAAAGAGTGGCTTTCTAGTTTCTCCTTTTTTCTAGTTTAGTCTTCGGTCCCCATTTATTTATAGTGTACTATTTTATCCTTTTAGTCTGTCATTTTTTATTGATCATTTAAAGGGCCTGTGTTATGATGTCCTCATCTAAAATATATGTATCTGAAGCTGTCTGTCTCATTCACACATGTTTCAATCCTTGCATATTTAGGCTGTGTTCTTTTTGTGTACCTTTTGCTATAGGTAAAATGTACCTTGCTAACTTGAAAATTACCAGTATATGAGATCACAAGGTGGATGTAGACAGACGACTAATGTGTGGATTACTCAAATGTGTGAATGAAACGAAACACATTCCCAGGTATGTTTTTGATGAGGTGACATGATTTAATACTCACAGGAGTCCGTTTTATGTAATATAGGAGCTTTAAATTATTCACAGTATTTGTTCAGTTGTTTGTGAATCACAAAAAACTTCACAGGCTTTGATTTGCATGCCCTTTACCCAGATGGTAGCAATTCTTTTTATACCCAGATTTCACTTGTTGGTTTGTTTCACTGTTGATTCAGACATACCAACTTCCTTTGTCATGTCTTGACAGATAAACAAGTGCTCTTCCCAGAGGCGTTTTGACATTGTAAATGCATGTAGTTATGTGTGCGTGAGGAGACTTGAAGGGCCTGCGGCAGAGAGAACAGGCAGCTCGGTGACTGTCATTGCACCTACCACGTCTGTGTGTGGGTGTGTGAGCGCTCCGAAACTTGGTTGCGTGCCACCAGGCTAAAGATCTGGAACTTGTTCTCAGTGATGGGCCAATGAGTCAAGGCTGAAACCTGCTGATGGTCAAAAATCTCCAATTAAGTGTAAGTTAAACAGAGTGACACATCAACTTTCAGTATTCAGACATATCCGGCGAAGGGATGATGCACCTCAGTCCAGACCACCGTAGAACAGTTTGTCTCAAGGACAGATTAAAAGCAGAGTTATGAAACCAATCTCAACTGACTGAATTGTGGCTCCAGAAATCACTGAAACTGGCTTTTGAGTCCAGCCTACTGTAAACTATTAGGGCTGAAGTCAATGAGGCATGCTGTATAATAGAAAATGACTAATAGAAACCCTTAGTTCATTTGCAATGGGCATTTCAAAGTCTCCTTTTGAAGATGGAAGATCAAACGAGTACAGGGCGCATGGTGACACGCTACACAATTATGCAGATTCACCAGTCTACATCTGGAGAGCTGTAAGACTGAAATTTTGATCCTTTGGTAAATTTTTTTTTGCCTTTGTTAAATTATGACAAACTTACTATTATAGAAAAGATTTAAAAATATCAGAAATTTACTTAAATGAAAATGGATCTCAATAGTGCCTGTGTGTGCCGATGATCCACCGCACGAAGAGACTGACTCAGACTGAAGAAAATAGATTGTTATGTCACAGCAGTGCACAGGACTGGAGTGATGAACTCTCGTGTGTTTATGATGAGGGAAACATCAGAATGTGCAAATGCTGAGGAGAATCTTACAGTCCCAGTATTTAGATTATATTTGCGGTTATGTCTTTTATATATGTCCTAACTTTTCTGTTACCACAACCTCATATCTTTAAGCATCCAAACAAGGCATATTTTGGAAAATTCAAAGATGTGTTATAGCTGGTAATTCTTAGGTGGTATATAGATTTTTCTTTTAACCTTCATTTAACCATTGTCCATAGAGTGACATGTATTGCTAATGCATAAGTTAGAAAAGCACTGCAAAAAAGTGTGACCCTGTTCTAGTGAAGAGAGGCCATCTGGACATCAAACTGAGTGCTAAATGTGTTGAATCACATCTTCTAATTCCACTTCAAAGAAATAAGGACATTACCGGAAAGCGTAGTCCATTCCAGCATTATCACTCAGCATAAAACTGTGTCCATTAGGAATAAAGAGGAGCCAGACTACAACCTGGGTCCCTGTGTACACGATCCCATAGACCTCTGCTGGCCCGCTTACTCAGCAGGAGCTGAGTCACAAAACATTTAGACAGCAATGGAGCGTAGCCAGCAGTAATGATTAGTCATCCACACCTGACTGTTTGTCAACAGACAGCTGGGAAGCTCTGCTCACAACAACACTGATGTTATACAACTACAACATTATTTAACAGAAGGGACACTGATTTTAAGTGATAATGGGACATTTACAGGCTCAGAGGCCCCTGCAGACAGCACAACCGCCACAGTTTGGAAGGGTAAAAAATGTAGATAAGCTGTTCTACCACAGTGCAAGACAATTTTCCCACATTGTACAGTCTTGATGGTTTAGACAGGAATGGTGCAAAATGTGTTAATTTGCAATACCAATTTCCTACTTCAAGCATGGGCTGGCAGTGTGCTGTTCAACCATGTTATTGACAGCACATCATAATCAGCAACATTCCTTTATAGACAGTTGTTTTCTCAGGTTAGAGGTAAGAGGCTGTGTCTCCTAAGTGATTTGACCCATCTTTCCTCTAGTGCCTAAGGGCCTTCTCCAGATCTTGAAACTATAATCTCAGTCTGGAGTATAGCTGATGGATTTGCCTCGCTTTAAGTTCAAGGAGAGACGGAGCACCTGGAGGAACCTCATGGAGGCATAGGGGGAAATGTTAAGACAAGAATGCTAACCATTAATATTTCAGTGTCTCAACAACATCTCTTTCTCCTGACTGGGAGTTCCTGGCTTTGACCTGAGCTGTCATTCATGTGGAGAAGAAACCCAGGCCTCAGATCCTCATTCATTAAGTCAATGCATCATGAAAAAACGGTGTACCACAGGATACTGTCAAGTTCATTTGCAAATGATATTTTTCTCTATTTTTCAGGCTCCACCTTATCACACAACACAGTCTACAAATAGATTTCAATTGAGTCCAAAATTGCCTTAGAATTAGCTTCCTAAATCTTAATATGAAAACATGCTTGTGTATGCTTTTTTTAATGCCAGTTTTCCCATCTGAACATGTATTTTTACAACGGTGTCCCAATGACCAAGGAAGCCTCTGTTATGTGGAAGTGTGTCTTATAATTTAGAAACAACACTATGCAACATTTTACAACACAACAGCTAACGTTCAAACCCCACATTGATTATATAATAAAACAAACATGTTCTTGTTTAATGCCTCTGTACAGATCAGCAAACTGTTTCACACAAGAAGTAAGAAAGAGGATCATTTCCCATCTTATCCTGCCTATCAATGATTATGCTGGCATAGTTTATCATCTGCAATATATATCTTAAACAATTAAATGTATTGTTTTACACATTATGTAGATTCTTCTTAAAATGCTCAATTATTGGTCCTTAGGGTCACAGTTAACAGAAAAACACAAATAAAAAGTATGGCAGATGATGTCAACCCATTTTTGAGACTTTGACTTCCCGACTATATAAAACTCATCATCGTGAGTTCTATGATCAGCTTGACTGGTTACAGCCTGAAAAAAAATTCAGTTTATCTTTAAATTTATTTATTTTGACTTTCCATCATGTCTGAAAGGTTTTCTTGTCCAGTCTACTACAATTTACTATCTTCAACACTCTCAGTATATAATATTTTCTGTACCTCCCATCTGTAAGGCAGGTTGGAGGTCCTGTCGTTTTAAGACCCCCTCAGACTGGAACAATCTGCCTCCATCACTGAAGTCTCTTAACTTCTCTAGGCTCCTTTAGAATGGCTCTGTTAACTTACCTGAAAACTGACTGTCACTGCTGTTGATTCTGTTAACACTGTTTATGTTAATGACTATATGGGATGAACCTATGGGGGTTGCACAAAATTGTCCTGTTACATGAATAAAGTCAAATTAAAGCAAGACCTCACATCTGCAGTTACTGAACTCCAAGATAAAGCTGCACTTGGGAAATATTGTTGGGATAATTCATTGAAATGCTTTTATTTGTAAATTTCAAAACAACCAAAACCATTCCAAACCTGTTTTTAAATTGGACAGATGGGAATTCTGGCATATTTACATAGGTTCATGTTAATTAATAAGCACTGATCCATTTAAATGAATGAAAAAATGAATACGATGAATGGAGGGAGAATGGCAGTTGCTTAGAAAATGCTTGCTTTCTGTTCTCATTAAGATGTAAAACACCAGCTTAAGGAATTTGATTCTGTGCCTTTGACAGATTTCTGACTGTGTTGGTGTAAAATGAGAGAGGTTAACATACCAGGTCATATGCCACATTTATTATTGTATGACAGTTATGATAATCAGATGTAAATAAATGTGTGTTTGTGCTATGTGATCCATGCAGTGAATTTAGTTCACCATGGTGATATTATCAGACAGGTGCTTCTTGACAGACAAACAAAGAGTATTACCTGACGTCTTTGTTTTTTGTTGTATGAAACCAATGGAAAGCTAGTTTAAATCACTGACTAAACAAATTGACCTCAAATTGACTAAGGAAGAATAATGGGAGATTCCAAGAACTGAAGAACTGAAAAAACAAACAAAAAAAACAAAAACGACTGTGAGGTATGTGAACTCGTATGAACGGTCCAGACTCTGATAAGAACTTGACCTGGACATCAGGTGGGTGATGAATGAGTGGGCCTTCAAAGGTTGTGAATAATAATTTCAGACCTATATATGTAATACTGTATGCATACACCTTTGTGCTGATCTCTCAAAAAGCTGCTGAAACTCCACATGGAGAGGAGCCAATGGAGGTGCACATTTAGAAGGGCTTAGAAACTCCAATATCAAGAGTGAGCCATGATCTTATCCTCTTGTTTTGTGTCAAACCTTAATAAATTGAAGTGGATTCAGAACAGGAAACATCTGTCCCAAATGAATATATAATCACGGATACAGATGATATTAAAGCCAAAATGTTCAGCCCATGTTATATAATGAACTGATGATTAATCATAGCTACTGTATATCACTGCTATGACTTTTAAATCTCTTACAGGCAGCATTATATTTCACCAGTGTCAACACTACAGATGTGTTACACAAGAAATGGACTGAAACAGTTCGAAACGAATCACTTATATGGCCTACATTTTTTTATTTTCTATATATTTTTTTGTTTTGTTTTGTTTTTTGTTTGGTTGTTGTTGTTTTTTGTACCATCAACCTCAATCCACCGAGAATATAAAAAATTGCATAGTTAAAGGTTGTATGGAGGATTTTTTTGTTTCAAATTGTCAGTGAAAGTTTAAAATACCATTACAGAGACGCAGAAGCCTTGTAATTATGATGACCAAAAACAAAAAACAAAAAAAAGAATGAAAATCTATCAACTGTGGATGTAGTGAGGCCAGATAAACATCAGCCAATAGAAAACGAGGCTGCCTCATTTTCTATTAACTGTTAGGTTGTCAATCAAATTCCCTACGTTTCTAGTGTAACTGAATGGGGATTACGTGGTTTATGCAGCAGTTTTTAGAGGATTTTTTAAACTGTAGCTTCCTCGCATTTCGCCCAAAGTTTGTTGCGATGGCGGACAAGAATCCACGACCAGTTCTCTGCAAAAGAAAGTCCGTTTTTGAGGTCGCTGAAAGAAGAAGAGAAGGGGAAAAGGAGCAAAGACAAACTGAGGTGATTCTTGGAGATCTCGTCCAGCGATTGCGTGAATGAAGAGGACGAAGGGTCTAAAAACTGATGTGTCGGTCGCTAAAATATTTCTAGACTGGTCATTTCAACAGTAATTCTGAACAAGCACTGGATGTAAACAAGTGTGATTTCTAGAGTAAAGAGGCAGGAGAAGGTGTTTCTACTGAGGAGCTGTGGAGGAGGAAGGTGGTGTCACACACGCACAACATTTGAAAAAAGACTGTCGCTGTATTTCTTTTCCCTTAAAAAATCCTCTATACAACCTTTAAGAGGTCATATGCCAGATTAGACTTAAACATAAGTAACAATTAAAATGTAAGATTTTATGCCCATACATTATACTTTTTTTTAATATTAGTGAAGTTTATAATTTTACTTCCTGGTTGGACACAATCAGTAGATATTAGATATAGGATATATAATAATATAGATATCTATTATTAGCTATTAGATCTACATTATGTAGAGGTAATTCCATAATTGTTATCTAGCAGTCATAATGTTTACAAATTAGTTATAATTAGAGTAATACAAATAACTGAGCACACCTTTAGTTTATTAAATAACCATTTATTTCAGGTAACCAGGAATTCCATTTTGGAACTCATTCTACTGCTTCCTCTGTTTTTGTACATTTCTTCTTTTTCTTTCTACTATAAACTGCAACTTAATTGATGTGAAACTATAATGTATATTGACAACAAACCACCTAAAAATGTGAAAACCTGTCACATGCACTTGCACTAACATGATGTCACTAATCTGGCACATATGTTGAGAGGTATTTGGCAATAAGAGAAATAAATATGTTGTAATGTATTTGCCATTTTAAATCTCTGCTCCTCTTCATTTATTTTCTCTGGGAATCCCTCAAAAAACTCAAAAACTCTTCCTGTTCACCTGCAAAGTTACATCACAGAGTTCAGCTTCAGGGCACAGCTGGGCCAGTTTTTTAACTGTCCACACCACATTCTGCGCCTGTGCACGCCGACTCCCCTTTAGATTTAGATGTGTATGTTGTAGTGCTACAGCTTGAAGGGCCTATATTACACTATTTCTGATATCTGTTATAACCAGTGTTGGGGAGTAACAGATTACATGTACTGGAGTTACGTAATCAGAGTATAAATTATGAGTAACTGTATTCAGTTACAGTTACTGTTTCAGTGAGTGGTAATTGGATTACAGTTACTTTGTTGAAATAAATGGATTACATGGTGGTATTTTCCTGTTTTCACATTTTGGGCTAAACCAGAACTAAAACCAGGACTAAAACCAGGACTAAAACCAGGACTAAAACCAGGTCTAAAACCAGGACTAAACCAGGTCTAAAACCAGGACTAAACCAGGACTAAAACCAGGACTAAAACCAGGTCTAAAACCAGGACTAAACCAGGTCTAAACCAGGATTAGAACCAGGTCTAAACCAGGATTAGAACCAGGACTAAACCAGGACTAAACCAGGTCTAAACCCAGACTAAACCAGGTCGAAACCAGGACTAAACCAGGTCGAAACCAGGTCGAAACCAGGACTAAACCAGGTCTAAACCCGGACTAAACCAGGACTAAACCAGGATTAAACCAGGTCTAAACCAGGTCTAAACCCGGACTAAACCAGGACTAAACCAGGTCTAAACCAGGTCGAAACCAGGACTAAACCAGGTCTAAACCCGGACTAAACCAGGACTAAACCAGGACTAAACCAGGTCTAAACCAGGTCTAAACCAGGTCTAAACCCGGACTAAACCCGGACTAAACCAGGACTAAACCAGGTCGAAACCAGGACTAAACCAGGTCTAAACCTGGACTAAACCAGGACTAAACCAGGTCTAAACCAGGTCTAAAACAGGACTAAAACAGGATTCAACAGGACTAAATCATGCCGTGTGGACCGTGTCTCCTCCTCTTCTATCAATAATATTTTTAATACGGTTCAGTAAAGTCTGGGCTTTTTATTTTCTTTTATCAGACAAAACATCTTATGTTACAATATCCTAGTCTTTGCTTTTCTACAGCGAATCAAGTATTCAGATTACATTACTCACTTTAAGTAATTTAATGGATTACGTTACAAACTACATTTTGGGGTATGTAATCTGTAGGGGAATACATTTTAAAAGTAACCTTCCCAACACTGGTTATAACATACCTACATTGTGTTTTGTGTTTTGTTTCATTCACACACATTTAACACACAAATCCTGCATATTTAGGCTGAGTTTTTTTCTCAAACTGAAAACTCTCTGTTCCACTTTATGATTGTATGTGCTACTACAGGAAATGCTCTATTGTGTTTTTAAACTTCATACACCTTCAGTAGAAGAATTTGGATGATTTTAGCCCTGGAACTGCCAATCACAACTAAATGAAAGATAAAAAGGTATTGAAAACTACTGTTTGATGACATCACAATTTGGAACAGAGTATTTTGAGCTTTGGTGATATAGACAGACGAATAAACTAGGAATACACATGTGTAAATGAAACAAAGCACAACTCCAGGTATGATTTTGATGAGGTAACAACATTGTAACATGGCTGAAATAAAAATGCAGAGACAATTTATGCCCAAAGAACACACATTTCTGACAGTTCAAATATTTATTCAACAAAATAAAGGTGTTGTTTACAATATGGTTGCAAGGTATCAGTTATGGAATTACCTCTACGGATGTCACGTACATCTGCTGTCCATGTTTATGGCCCATGCCCAACCAAGATTTTTTGTAAAATGTTTTAGTGAAATGCATGATTATGTGCACTGTCCTGTGCACATAAGGGCTATGTCACATTGAATTAAGTTGTGTGTGGAGCCATTGGTGAAGATTGGCTGCCTCACTTCTGTCAGTCTATCCCACGACAGCTGTGGCTACAACAGCCAGGTTACCACCGCTGAGAGTGGAGGAAGTAAATAATGCCCGAAATTGCATTGAGCGTCTGGAAAAACAATATTTAAGATGCAGTATTATTATTATTATTATTATTATTATTATTATTATTATTATTATTATTATTATTAAAGCATGTGCCAATACAATATAAAGCATAGAGACGTCTCCTTTTGTCACAGTAGGCCTTATTACACGCAATATAATGTTAAATTATGTAAGAACATTAAAATATATTCAGTCAAAAATATTAAAATTATGTAAGTAAGGATGTAAATGACCATAAAGTCCTTCACAATAAAGAATCCTTCCACACAAATAGTTTATATTAAATAGAATACTTTTTACAGCTTATAAAATCCATGTGGTGTAGGAGGATGCTGTCCTGGCACTGCAGAAGAACATTCTTCAAACTTTTTAAACATGTGTTGAGGAAAAATATTGAGGGCTGCTCCTTCAGAGGTCCTGAGCCATGTGACTCAGGTTGTGTGATCCTAGATCCACTCTGTGTCCACACCCTCACCAGTGGTGCTGAACAAACATGCCCATGTAACACCATATGCACAGCTCCAGAGCTCACAGCCCTATGCCCTGTCCACTGTCCACTGTCCACTGTCCTCTGTCCTCTGTCCTCTGTGTGTATACAGGTAGCAGTCTGTGCAGGCACACAGGGCTTTGGTTTGGACATTTCACACAGTCGGTCAGATTGCCTCTCCACTGCTTGATGTCCAGACTAATCCTTTTTATCTTCATATAGTATAGGAAACATGTGCAGTCTTAGCAGGTAAATCTAATGCAGGGGCTGTTTTCTTCTCAGGTGGTCCACTTGATCTGAAGAAAAACAGTAGCGTGTCAGTCAAATATACATGCAAACAATCATGCATACAGTCTAATGAAACATTTACACATTTTCTGGTAGATGACGAGTGTAATCCTTACCTGGACATACAGAAGCTGCTGCAGTGGGCATCAGAGGACAGTGAGCAAACACAGCGTTGTGCTTTGGCTCCTGTCTTGTTCCTAACCCCCGCAGATCTCCTCGGCCTCGATGAGCCCTGGTAACTGGACATGCCATATGGTACAGTATGCCTGCAAAAACATGCATGAGTATTATTATAATACAAAGTAGATGGCCTATACTGTGCCCTGTTCTATGTTAGAATTATAAGTATAATGAGAAGTCATATCTTCAAAACACTGACTTGACTGAACTTTCATTGCAAATATGCCAGGAAGTGATATATCTAGCATCCCCTTAATCTCCTTAAATGGGTTTCAGAGTCACTTTTGCCAGACTAATTAACAATTCAAAACAAAACATTACATATTTTAATATGTAAGGAAAGCAGAAATTTGAACCCAGTGATTAGATCGCTGTGTTGTCTATATCACCACAGTGTCAGAACATCGGTGATCTCTATAACTATCGGCAGCAGGATGTTTGGACCGACCCTGCCAGCGAACCTCTGGCTTTGAAACCTGATTTCGATCTCATAAAATGTTTGATGTGTGCTCTGTGTTTCCAGTCAGACTGGTGTAATAAAGTGGTGCTGAACAGTGTGATCAGGTGTGATGGTAATATCCTCTATGGGAAATGTATGGAAAATAAACTCAAGAAAATCTACATACAAAAACAACATAGAGAGAGACACATCACCAAGTTAGTCCACTTTTTTGATTAACTTTGTCTCAAGAACATATTCTGAGACCTTTACAAGTGAGCTCATATATTTTAGCTACTTGAAATGACAGAGTGAGCACACACACACACACACATACACACACACACACACACATACACACACACACACACACACACATATCCCTCTCCAGTATCTCTATGACCCAGTGATTCCTCTGGGCTGTGCATTACATCACAGATCAAACAGCAAAACATCACAAGACATAATAACTAATATTAATTAATAAATAAAGCCAAATGATTTATTCCTTCTGTTATGGAATAGGGAGTATAGAGCACCTCTCATAAAAACACTAGGTAAGATATTCTAAACAATATCCAGTCAGTTACAAATGTCAGTGCCAGTTAGATAAAAAGTGTCCACTCACTCTGGCGTGTTAATCCAGATGATGTCCAGGTGACAGTAGTACACACACTCTTTGTCCTTGTAGGTGTAGCAGGTGCACCTCTTGGAGCGTCTGTTGACCGGTCCAGAGGGTCCAGAGGTTTGAGTGCCCTGCCTCAGTGTGCTCACATCTCTCCTCTCTGTTAAATCTCTGCTCATCAAGAACCCTGCACCATCACATAACAGCACTATAACTAACGGCACTAAATATGTACTTTTTTATTTTTTTACTTGAAATATCATGGAAAATACATTAACAACTTTTTCTAAATCAAATTGATCAAAAGGTTTTTTTGTTTTTTTTCCACACCCCTCAGGTAATAATTTAATTAGTTGCCTGGTAAATTTGGAGTCATAAACAGAACAACTGTTCATCACAATAATAAATCATAATAAATTAAACAGAACAAAATAATAATTTAGAAAAAAAAAAATCACGGACTATAAGGTACATAGTAGTATCTGTAGTTTAAGAATCAACTATTCATGTGTACTTACCATTTGCCACAGTTGCTGTCATCACAATAACAAACAAAACTCCCACATCAAACACAGGCAATTTAGCCATTACAAACAAAAGTAATCACAATGAAAATAACAAAAAAAAAAAAAAAAAAAAAAAAAAAAAGAGAGAAAGAGAAATAGTCCAGCAGTAGTAGCTGTGTGAAAGAGCCTGGAGACAGTCCTGATGTGCTGATGTGTGATTTGAGCGTCTCTGCCTCTCACACTTTTCTTATGAGCCACAGGTTTATGTGAAGTCAGATCACATGATTTAACTTCCTGTGAGAATTTCAAAGTAAGAGCCGTCAAAACAGGCTCAACTTGCTCTGTGGCTATGAACTTTTCAACAATCAGTTCAAACCACAACCATCTTCTAAAACATGCTGCTAACTTATTTATTGCTTTAATACTTTTGTTTAAAATGTAATTTATTTATTTACTGATCCTTGATTTATTTATATAATGTATTTTCGGATTGTTATTGGCAAATGTAATTATCCATTTATATAAACCCAAAAAGATTTTTATAATCTACTTCTTCGAACCAACCCTTTTATTTTGAAGGTCTATTCCCTTTCTTAGTTGAGACGCATTGGTGAAGTCATCAAATGAGACAACAGTATTTTTAGTACTTTGTTTTATGACTCGTAACATTACAAAGTTGAAAACAAATGAGACAGATACTTGACTGGTATGATGTGATCATCTAACATCGAGTGAATAAAAAGTAGGTCATCACAAGCAGTATTCAGTACAGAGGAAGGTATATTACACTGTTAACTTCAAGATGGTGTTATATTAACATAAGCATCTGATACATTTAATTTGCCTATAATGCCAGATCAGCAAATAAGTTGGATGAAGAGGCCAGAGTTCTCATTCACTGTTTTTTAACAGTGAAAAAAATGCATAGCATGATCAGATGGCGTCTGAGTGGGCTAGTTTGCACTAGAGCCCACAAGAGAACATATATTTGAAGCATTCAAATGTCATGGCTGCAGTGGGAGACTTTTGATTCACAGTGTTTAGTTTGGGAACATTTTGATGAATCCAGGTCAAGTCGAAACATTGGGGCCGATGAGAGATAAGTGCAAGGAGTATTCAGGTTAACTGTGACTGTGTACAAGGGTCAAGAATGCCTTCATATTTCCAACTTTAGGTTTTGTCAGATTTCTCCTACATACGCTAAGCCCACTAGGATGAGATCTCAGATACAGAGAAGTGGCTGAGAGAGACAGTTTGAGCTCAAAAGCTTGTGTAGAGCTGCTGCTCCCAGACAAATAGAAGAGATAGTTTAACTGTGTAGGGCCTTGATTTTCAACCAGTGTGCTGTGGAATGGAGCCTTGATGTGTTTCCAGGTGTGTCTTGTTTTGCTAACTGACAACTCTATGTAAGAATTTACCATTTTAGTGATTTATTGTTAGTATTTTTTATGTGTATATTTTTATTTATGCTTAGAATATTAAGCTGTTTGTTTTAGCACAGTGGTGAGGGAAAGTGGGGATAAAAACTATAACGTCAAGATTATTTTTTTGTGAAACTTTGACACAATAAAGTATTAAAAAAAAACACACAACTCTAGGGTATCTGTCATCGTGGACACCTCCGTGAAGGTGTTTGGAGTTGATCCCCCAAAGGAATTGTATATTAGAGTTTGAAGCAGCCTGCTAATCACCAAAGATTTTAGTAATAAAACACATGGAGAAGAATTTTTGGCTTGTCACGGTACGCTGATTTGTATAGATTTGTCATATTTTCTTTATCTATTTCACATCCATTTAGAAATACAGTCATACATTCATTAGGGGGCAATTTTCTGTCAGTCAGAAGAGATATTTCCACTAATGGATTTAAATGCTTATTTGATCTGCACAGCTGTCTTGGTCTGAGGGCCTGGGGTATTTAGAGAGAAAACTACTGGAATGTTGAGTTGGGTGGCTAAAACAATGTTTTTTCACACTTTACCTACCGAACCAAGTAATGTATACTGGATATTTTGACCTCTCATTCCATTAAGATCCATAGAGAATCTAACCAAAACCTTGTATAAGAGGCTGAGCAGACCTCCCAGTCCCTGCCAATCATGAACTGCAGATTTATTTGTCCATTCAACCATATATGGGTTCATGAAATGCCTATAATGTTTATCATATTTAAGCAACACATGATAAATGGTGTCAGTTCTACCACCTGTGCTCATTGTAAACATCCTGTCTTTCAGCATCTCCAACTGACTTCATAGAGCTTCATAGAACATCTTGTCACTTAACAATATGTTAAGGCCAATATTTATTTAAAGGTCCGTCTATGCAAAATCGACTCTTGTGAGCTTTTAAAAAATGGTGCAACAATTGCATTGTGTGTTGTATTGTACACTTGAAATAGATGGGACATATCACTCTAGTCACATTAGTACACTTTAGTCAAAGGTGGGACACAGTTGAACTTCTTTGGTTGAGAGATTATTTGCAGGTATATTGGAAAAGACATATTGAACACTTAACATCTTAACCGTGGCACAGGTAACAGTGGCGTGTTGCATCCTGAATGCTGTAATGTAGGACTGGGTATCATTAAGAAGGTGCCGATACGATACATACTTCGATACATAGGCCACGATACAATACATATCTCGATACACTGCACTTTCGATTCAACACGATATATTTCAAATCGATTTGATATGATTCAATTAAAAATAAAGGCTAAATCATGGCTGTGATCCTAAAAGTCTTTGTTAAATCGTTTCCTGTGCAATGTTAATTTAAAAAACGCCCATTTTAATCATCAAAACAGTGAAAATGTCAAATATGTTGCATAAACTAGTTTCCTTCCTCTAAACAAGCAACAAAACTGTAGCTGTAATAAAATAATTTAGCAAAATATACCAAAAAATACTCTTGGTGATGTATCGATACAGCAGCCCATGATATCGATACTGTATCATCACATTAAATGATATGATATATCGATATTTTGATATTTTTGCACACCCCTACTGCACTGAAAAAAAAGGTTGCTGGATTTGCGTAAAAAAGTTATGGAAAGCGGTTGCATGCAATAAAATTATGTTTAGGCTTTGAAACTTATTTTGATTCTCTCTACACATATTTTTCTCAGAACATGAACATCACTTTTTCTTGTTGATGAAATTTGATCAAATCATGCTGAATATGCAGATTTATCTTATGTTACCTTGTCGTGAAAAGTATAAGTATGTATAATTTACTTTAATTGATCTAATACTGTAAAATAATACGTTAGTTTTCCACAGTTCTGTATTGTCTTAAACAGAATCAAACACACAGAGACACACAAGTACAGAGACACACAGTTTGGAGCTGGACAGTGTGAAGATTTATTCCAGTGAAGAAGCTCTGGTCTCTGCCTGTGGACACAGAATAACACATGATGATCACATTCTGATGATCTACTCTGTTGTACATGTTTAAATACATTTAAAGCACTTATTACTACAATAATGGACCAGAACAGAATCACAAGAACATTAGAAGTGTATCTGCAGAAACAAAACTCACCATGTGCTGCTTTTCTTCCTCTAAACACAGTAACAGGGAGGGCATCTGGTATAAAGTCTCCTAGTGCCACATCACCCTGTAGAAACACGAAAACTGTTTCAATAGGAAGTTCATATTTAAAAATGTGTTTAAAATCATTTTAGTTGAGTTACTTACTTTGTTCATCTGTGCTCTGTGTTTTGTTGGTTCTCAAACATCTTCCTTTTTCCTGAAACATCAGCTGTAACATTCATGAACTTCCCCACAGCTCCAGCAGAGCTCTGGACGTCACTCTGTGTTTGTAGACGACTCTGGAACAACACATTCACATCTGAGTACAACTGTCACACTCTTGTAGATGGACAGTCAAATACAATTTGTCTCATGGAAACAGTCCTTACATTAACTCTAATTTCAAATAAAACACCACAAACATGTTTTAACAATGACGACATTCTAGTCCAGAGAAACATATAAAATCTTTGAAAAGTCTCACCTCCAGATCAGCTCTCATAATCCTCCTGCTCCACACTGTGTGTCTCTGCTCCTGGAACTGTCCTGTGTCCTGTTACATTTGAATTTTCCCTCCAAAAGTTTTGAGGAGGAGAATTCCAGAGGGAGGAGCCTCACCACAGATTATAATAAAGTCATGTTTCCTCAACCTGATTAAAACATGCAGATCTAACATCGACCACAATCAAGTGACCTTTGTAAGATTTAAACATGCTGGGCAGAGAAATGTAAAAAAGTCATGTTATTGTTGTCAAATTTATTTTTGCAATTTGAACAACCCCTCTTGGACAATTTTTTCAGTGTGTGATGTCGGTTGCGTGTATACGTGTACTTCAGTATGCTGTGCTCTGTTCCAGATAAGTCAGAGCATTATAACTCACTAGCTCCACAGATCATGTTAAAGCCTCTGGTTCAGGGAGGAAGTACTTATGTTATATCTTTAGGGGAAGAGAAAGTAGGTATGGACGTCAAAAATCCTAGTATTACTGCTTTATAAATAACACATGTTCCAGTACTGTAAAGTGGTCCACTGGTTTTCCTGTTCATATTCTAATTTCTCATACAAATGGAGGACACAAGTAATAGGTAAAACTATTTGAACAAGTCATGGATGCCTAAAATCCCCAAATCAAAATGGCTGGACATTTAAAAATGAATTGACACTATAAGCAATCTATTTTCTTCCTGTTGTTTTATACATGCTTGAGCCTGGATGCTGAAAAGTCATGGTTACAGTTTTTGGTAATGTTTTCTGATTTCCCTTGGCAGGTACAAAACCATTGGGGGACTCTGAAAATAAAACACAAAACATGACGGTGATACTTGGCAGTTAAATCCCTGTTTTCTTAGTATACTGCCATAAGGTCCCTTTGCTATCTACGTGGGCTATGTGTGATTTAGTTTTTCTCATGTTTGTGTCTATCCTTTGAAAATACCAGATTGTGCATTATTTAATGTTCTGTCCTTCCAATTACATTGACTTTCATTTTTAAGTCAGACGTTACATCCCAACAGTTACTTTGCCAATACTTTGCACTTCTACTTGAGAAATATTATTTAGAAGAAATGGTACTGATTAG